AATAAAGAAATAAAATGGAGGCTTATCCATATACCCAAAATAGGTGAGAAGATATTTCAGAAGCTCTCATCTGCTTATTCATGAAAGTTCTTTCCACACAAATACTTAAAAAACAGGTACAACGATATTTGATCTACTATGCATATTTACGGGTTGAAATTTGAGAGAAATTTCTCTTAAATATGTGCAAAAAATCAAACTGTTCCTCTACTGGAGTGTACTACTTGGTCTCACTCTTGCTATTTGTTTAGGATGTTCAAATGCCCTGTTGTAAGAGCCATCTAAAGTACAATTCCCATGGACAGAAATGCTGCACAGAGTAGATAAGACCATGATGCAGAAATGGTCCTTTGAATGAAAACAGAAAATACTCTAAAGCCTAAAAGTGTAATGTTGATTTTGTGGTTCTAGCTACAAATATTTTTATATCCAAAATATGGCAAAAGTTGCTGATCCTTCTTTTGGTCCAACCCTAATAGTGGCCACATGAGAAAAACCATGGCTTCATGCCAGATATGTTTTATTTTTGTCACCCAGAAAAAGAGATGACAAAAAGGCCAGACTGTAGTCATCGAGATGAAATGGAAATCTTCTGCAGTCTGGAGATGGTAACAAGCTATTTGCAGACATGCCTCTGTGAAAATTTATGCCTGTGTTTTGGTAGAGTCTTAGGACACTTCCTTCATCAAGTCTTAGCCAAGAAATATCTTGTTACAAGAAGACAAGGATGAAACAACCTCTGAAACATCCCAGATCAGACAGCTACATTGGCTTATGATGAGTAGGCCTCTTTCAGTCATGTACCTATGGGCTCTGACAGCAACATGCTGCAACTTCAGATTCTGAACCCACTGTCATATTAACAATGCATTTCTCTTTATGGGAGAAGAGAAAGGGAACCCTTTTGAAAATCTTACCAATGGATTAAGATGGAATGTTTTCCTACAACATCAGTCCAAATATGAAAAATCATTCATTGGATGATGCCTTGGTCTCCAAACCTATTTAGTCCTTGGATACCCTATTGAGACTGATAAATTGTATCACTAAATGCACTCTTGAACCAGTTACACTTCAGAGAAAATTGGATTGTAATCTCAGGTGATAGATTCTTCAAGATAGATATTTACCTTTTGGTATACCATTCAATGGATACCAAATTCAAGTCAAACAGTCCAGGTAACACATCTTGTTATCATCAACTAATCAATCAACTTATCTTGTTATTATCAAATTATCAATTTGGAGTAAAAATGTGCCTAGTTTTTAAAAGTTTTACATCCTCTCAACAATATCCCAAGCCTTTTAAACACATTTTCTTTTTCATTTAATAGGAGTTGAACTAAAGTTTTATGTTTCGGCATGGCAGTCTTCAAGTCTGGGAAGATTTATATTATAAATCCTACCTGTTTCATTCTTGTCTTGTTACTTGTTAACTAAGTAATTTTTTTCAGAAGATTCAAAGGTAGACCTTATTTTAGGTCTTTTCATTGGCACAATGTAGTATGTTCTTACATCTTGTCATTATTTCTCCATAAATTTTCCTTATATATTCTTATTTCTAAACACCATTTCTATGCAGACATACATGTAATTCACATAAACATTAATAAAAGATCTGTATACAGGGCAAGGCTACAAATAATATCGTTACAGTAATTTTATCAGTTTGATATGACTTTTTTCAGCTTTTCTAGATAATATTTAATTCTTGCAAAGAGAAAACATTTCAGCAAGTTTTATAAATTGAATTTCTGATTCAGTAATTTTCTTAAAGCACAATACTCGTGGTTGGTAGATAGAAATGTTAATAATGACAGAATCCATACCACAGACATACTAGTTTACTCCGAATATACGTTGCAAAAAATTGCCATCTATAGGGAAGCATCTGACCAACCTTTTATCACAGAAGATTCCACTTCACCTAAACAAAGAGAAAAACAAAAACAAAACAAATGGCAGATAAGAGGCTTCATAATAAAACCAAACCAAAGTAAAATACATATGCACAACACATTATTTCTCCTATTGATTCATTATCACTTTTAAATGCATTTTATTCCTTCTGTGCTGAAAGGCAAGCATCCTATTCTGAGTTTGGATTTTCACAGAATCTGTCTCTTATCGTAGAAGGTTTCTGGGTCTGGGACAGATAAATTCAGTGTGCAGTAGTAACCAAAGAAATTTCCAAATCTGTATTTGTGCTTCTGAATATAAAATTGTGATGATGTATTTACAATTTGCTTGAATGTATGCATGCACTCATGTTGTAAGGAAAGGTCCAGTGGTTCCAGTGGTAAACTCCAGATTATAAAATGAATGCACAGGATAGCAAGGTTGTAAATGTAACAGCACTTCTAGTGAAATCCATGGCAAAAAAGACTCAGTTTCAGAGGAACAATGAGCTATCAATTTGAATTTGAAGGATTCATCCTGGAAAATGAAGCTTTCTTTTCTAGGATACAAAGCAGTAAGTTGTTTTCTGCCATTTCACACTACAGCTAGACATAGGTGAAATGCCACCTGGCTAATGGAACTGAAGTTTCCAAGCACTCTGAGCATTCAGATCTTGAGTATTTTCATGTCAGTTATTTTATGACCTTTCCTACTTCCTTTAACACATATACACTCAAGTACTTGAACACTCTAAAAGGTAGAAACACCATCCAGAGGGACCTGGACACACTCAAAAAGTGGGCACATGAAAATCTAATGAGTTTTAACAAGACCAAGTGGGAGGTGTTGCACTTGGGTCACAACAATCTGAGATACTAGTACAGACTGGGAGAAGAACTCATCGAGAACAGTCCTGTGGAGAAGGACTTGGGGGTCCTGATGGATGAAAAACTGGACATGAACCAGCAGTGTGCTCTTGCAGCCCAGAAGGCCAACAGTATCTTGGGCTGCATCAAAAGAGGAGTGGCCAGCACTGCAAGAGAGGTGATTGTTCCCTGCTGCTCCACCCTTGTGAGGTCCTATCTGGAGTACTGTGTCCAGGCCAGGGGTCCCAAGCACAAGAAGGATGCAGAGCTGTTGGAGTGAGTCCAAATTATGATCAAAGAGCTGGAGCAACCCCTCTATCAAGAGACATTGAGGAAGTTGGGCTTCTTTATCTTGGAGAAGAGAAGGCTGTGCAGCAACCTCATAGTGGACTTCCAGTTCTTGAAGGGAGCTTACTATCAAGAAGGGGAGCAAATTTTCACACAGTCTGGTAGTGATAGGACAAGGGGGAATGGCTTTAAACTGAAAGAGGAGAGATTCAGATTAGATATCAGGACAAGATTTTTTACTAAGAAGGTGGTTAAGCACTGAAACAGGTTTCCCAGAAAGGTTATGGATGCCACATCTCTGGAGGCATTCAAGGCCTGGTTGGATGGGATCTTGGGCAGCACAGTCTAGTAGGTGCAATCCTGCCCATGGCAGGGGGGTTGGGACTGGATGATCTTTAAGGTCCCCTCCAACTTAAGCCAGTCTATGATTTTATGACATTATTCTATGAACACAAAATGGTAAAAATAAAAAGTTTTGAAGTTTTATCAAGCTCTCAATATTACATATTTTCTGTTTCTCAACCATATAAGGGGATGGCTTTCTGTAGATCATACCTGAGAATAGGATATCCTGTTCACAAACTCACATGTAGCAGCTTATGTATCATTGTTCATATGTGGTACAAGTATATAAAGTTCATCCATACATTTAAAAATGAATTTGATAATATCTCAAGCTTATGAACAAACAGGTAGAAGTCATTTTCAGTCTTTCTGGGGTAGACAAATTGAATAGAAAATAAATTATTTTGAAATGAAGATGTCACTCCTACACTCATCATTTCTCAATATGACCAATGCAGTGTGGCATAAAAATCCACTACTGCTCTGCTCACACAGAGCTATTTGTTTTTTTTTTTAATAGCAGAAAGATAATTGTTTCCAAATTTGTTATGTTAGCAGCTTACTTTCATTTATCAGATGATGTCAGATGAAGAAAATTACTGTAATGATAACATCAAAATTTTTAGTAAAATGCATTGTTTGTAAATTGCCATCCAAACTACCCTTAGTCTAGTCAAAATTATTTTTTTTTCTTATATTTTTCTTTTAACAATATATTGTTCTGTCATTGGTATATAGAAACTAAATATATAAGTTTCTTGATCTACCTTATATTTTTACAGGCTAATTTTAGATTGTTGCTGATTAAAAGAAAATAGCTGTTGCCATGCTCTGAAGCAATATTCTGGTGCATATTTTTATTGTGATTTTGAAGTCTTGTATAAATTAATACTCTCTACTTCAAGATGTACTAATGGTAATATTTAATTCTGACAGCTTTTCTGTAATGGTACATTAAACATGAAATGAAAGCTAACAAAGAGATGAATTTATTCATTGGAATAGCTGGTAGATACTTTATTAGCAACAACATTCACTTTTATTTTGTTTGACCTTTCTGACTAAGAGGTTAAAGCTGAGTAAGCCAACATAATATACACAAAACAGCAATTAGTGCAGTTACAGAAATCTACATTATGAATACCTTCATCATTGTCATCATCGTCACTCCATATGATGTCAGACAGTAAAGAAATAAAGCCATAAAGCCAGTCAGTGGATTCTTCTAGTGTCTCATGAATGATTCTCAGTGGTTCTGTGCTGAGCTTGTTAACAGATCTTCCTGAGTGCAGAGTTTAAAAAACAAAAACAAAAACAAACAACAAAAAAAGATTTGGTGCTTAAGGTTAATCCACATTTTATAGAAGACTAATTATACAACCTTCTTTAACAGAAACAATGATTTTTACTGTTGATTTTCGTTATTCAAATGTTTGAGAACAGCTTTCCTTCCTGTGCATGTAAATTGTCCTTGCAGTTAGAAAAGTGATTTATAGCCCAGTGGACAATGTGGTCTGATAGTGTTTTCCCAGTTCTGACTCTTCTTCTGAGGCTTTGTTGGGTTCAGTATAAATATAGATTTGATTCTACCCCATATTTAGCCTTCTAGATAATTTCTTCCTTTCAGTCCAGTTTATTTCTCTGGCCGAGGTCCCCTGCCTCTTGATGTCTATTTAGTATTCACTACTGTTGGTTTCCCAGTCCTATGTCACATCTACCTTCAAGGCTATTCTGGCTGAGGAAACTGATAAGGCTTGGTTTAACTGCATGGACATTTCTCACCTTTCTCTTGGAGTACATGGAAAAAGTGAATAAAAGAAAACTGTGCATACTTGGGTCAAAACAAAACTGAGTCCAGGATGAAGGGGACCATGGAGCCCAAGTTGTGGCACACAACCAGCTACACTCAAACACATAAACTCACAAATCTGTTTCTCTTACATTTTTTAGGCAGTTTCATTCACATACTTGTGTGAATATTTAACTAGTTGCTGCCTTCTTGCTCCTGTAGGTCAACAAACAAGGAAGCTGCAACATTCCATATGCTCCATCTTCCTGGTTACTGCTATGGAAGAAAGGCCCCTCCACATGTCTTCACTTGAGGGCGAACAATCACTAGTAATTAATATAAGTATTCCTTTAAAGGCTTTTCCAGTTATAATGTCACCAAATTTCTCCGTACCCTGTTTATGCTGACATAGTATTTCACAAGAAATCTCCAGTCATTCATTCTATGTTACTGTCCATCATAACTGAAATAGTAGACTGTCCTGTGTATGCAAAGTTTGCACAGAAGTTTCACAGAAGGTTAAACAATTGAAGGTAAATCACAAATTCGATTTAATTCATTGGCCTACTCTTGCTTCTAGTAGTTTAAATAGAAATACATACATTCAACAGTATAAAGATGGGAACCACATCTCTGTTTACCACTCTTTTTTTGTATGCAAATACTTTTAAAAGAAATTAAATGTGAGCTTCTTCACAACTACTTCTGGCTGCAGAGCTCTGACTCACAAGACAACTCTTAGCAGTAATCAACAGTCTCACGTGAACTTGCAGGTTACAAAGACAGGCAAAGTGCAGGCTTGAAGCAATTTCTTTTTATGGCAGCAGCATGAACAGTTATTTTCTAGAAGTGCTGTAACAAAACGAATGAGTAAATTTATTTGAAATATAAATACAACAATGAATAACTCCTTTTACATCCTAGTAATTTTAAGTATAAAATTTTATTTAAAAATTATTATTATTTCAGATCTGCTTATTGATAGTGTAGATCAAATAAATATTTTGGTTGGGCTGTATGGTGCTTTTTGTTTCCTGGAAATTGTATTATATAGATATATGCTATTGAACAATCAGGCACATCAGATAACTTAGTCATGCACACTGCTGAAATGACAACATTGTAAAGAAATATTAATTAATTCTTCTTCTAATGTACTGTTTTGTGCTAACATTTGCAACTGATTAAATAATTCAGAAAGATTTTGAGTAGTATACCAGGATGTATTGACTTTTCTTATTGTAAGGCATCTATTTATTTGCACTGGACTTCCATATTGAGGTCCAGAGATTTTAATTTTTCAACAGATTTGCCACAAATGACTTTCTCCGTTGTTTACAAGGAGAATTATATATGTATTATATAAATATGTACATTTATATTCAGACTATAAAAATAAATCTGTAACCTGAGCCTTGGTGCCATTTGCATTTACTCTAATTTAGAGATGCTAAGGTGTGTAAGTGGACACACAGAATTAAATGGCCAGTGGGGTATCAGCATAACTAAGCTTTAGATTCACAAGCAAGGGTGGTTAAACATCATACAGCTGTCCTAGTTTCTATCCTCATTTTCTGCCCACCCTGTACCCACTGGATGCTTAGGGATGGCTCAGCTGTTTCTACAGTCACAGAAATTTATAGCCACAGGGACCACATCTATAAACAAAACAAAAATTCTTGCCAGTGTATTTTAATATTTGAGGCTACATATTAGCAGTTCAAGAACTGCTTCACAGGTAGGAGAGCTGTCCCCCCAGGCAGGCATAGGAACTGCTCAGAGAAGATCTAAAAAGCAGAGGAAATTATTGCAACCACCCCAAGGCAAGCCATCTTTGCTGATGAATTAGAGCCCTCAACATCATATCCTGGTCTTTAATTCATAATATCTTCATAGCAAACTGTGGAAAAGGGATTAGAAATCATAAGTGTCCAGAGGCTAATTTTTCTGGGAACACCTACACTAACAGGCCAGAGCTGCAAATCCTGTTTCAAATAGAAAATTCAGAAAAAAATCGACTTGGGGCTTTGTAGATAAAACTTCAGTGGTATTTGCAAAATTAAACTTGCAAAATTAAACGGATCCATTTGCAGTGTGATTCAAGTGACATAGACTGGGAAAGTTTACTTGTGCATAGATCTTCTACTTAATTTTTAAAAAATATTTCCTGAATTTTTAAAATATTGGGCTAAGAGTAATAATTCATCCTAAAATGCTTACGAACACCACACCAGATAATCCTGAATGGAAAGAGCTACTGATCAAACCCATGCTTTTAGATTTCCCTGCAACTTTGTCAATAGGAGATTGTTCTTCCTCTAGCAGAACAAAACACACATGAAGCAAAGGAAAGAAAGCAATTTGAGAGGAAAAAAAGCAGAAAGATGCCATTTAGCTCACACACATGCAAAGAAAGATTTTCATACTTCTGTATGAAGAGTATAGCTGAGAAATACACATTTCAAGATAAAATTTAAACTTGACATCTTCTTGCAATATAGATTTTTTAAAATTAAATTATTCTTTCTTTACAGATGTCCAGTAATGCTACAGCTTGATGACTTCTGTTTTCAATAGTCATGCATTCAACACATTCAGATTGGATTAATTGTCTTTTGCATAATTCTGTCTGGCTCTTCATGTCTTGTCGGACACTGGAATACAAAGTATTTATAATGCTAAGCTGAAAATATACTTCTTTTATTAGCATGTGGTATATAACATATAATACATAATATATAATTTGTAATTAGTCTATAACCATAATCTGTATTTATAATCATGAATGAATGATATTTATAATCATGAATTAATGAATGTATATATAGATATGTATTTTATGTTGTGTCTGTTGTGCTGGGACTGCTGTGAGCAGCAGAGGCAGGACCCTGAAAATAAATTGTAAAGAGGCTTTATGAAGACAGCACAGTTCTCAAGTAAATCCAGGCTGTGAAGTTCTACTGTTAGTAGAACTGGTAAGTAGAGACTGAGGCAATTGTTCCTCTTAGATTATGTAGTAGAAAAATACAAAATGTTGATTGAGAATAGAGGAGGGAAAAGAGGAGGAAGGAAGAAAATGGTTACTAAACAGATTAAATTGAGGAACGAAACACAATTAACACTGAAGGCCTTTTGTTAACATGATGTCATTTCATTTAATCACAGCTTAAACTCCGATCATCCTATCTAGTCAAATGTACTGAAAGCCAGATGTTGAGTCTCTGGTGAATCTGGACTCCCTCAAAAGCCAACTCAGAAAGCTATTTTGACCTTCAGATAAGAAAAATTGTCACCTCCATCTCACATCCTTTTAGAATGATATGAATTAATTTCCAAATATGCTCTTCCTTTTCTCTTGAATATAAAAGAAGCCAAAAAAAAAAAAAAAAAAAAAAAAAAAAAAAAAACACCAAAAAAACCTAAACATGGACATAACACCATTTTTTTTTTTTTAGATCACTAAAAAGTGTGACATGGATCATATCAGAAGTGCTGTTTCATATTTAATTTTTTTCTTGTCACTATGCACTTCGACTAAGCACTTAGATTTGTAATTAATTTATATTTGTTATTAATTTCAGGTCAATACAACTATTCACACCAAACAGTATGCAAACCACCAACAGTGCTCTCCAGTAACATTTTGGTTTTTTGAGCCCTTTTATTTCTTTTATTGCTGGAAGGAATGTTCTTCAAATCAGTAAAGATTCAGCTCTGCTTGTGTTATCATTTTTACTGCTGTTTTCTTTTGTTTGTTCATTTGTTATGGTGGTTTGTTTTATTTTCCTAGTGGGACCTTCAAATTTTTGGTTCCAGAATGCTCTAGAAAATGCTTAAATATGGAAGAATTATTGCTGACAGGGTACGAATTATAGTAAAATTGAAAGATTTTATACATTACTTTTCAAGAAAACCTTATCATAGGAAAACTCAACTGAATTTCCTAGTCGAGTATTTTTACCTCTTTTATGTATCTGCAAGGAAATTTGGAGTCTTGTTTGAATTTTCTTTAAAAACATACACAAAGGTGGTTAAAATAATTTTCAAATATACTTTTGTTATATATAAATGTTTCTGGAAACTCTCTATGTATTTTGAAGCCGGTTTTCATGCTCATTACATCTAAATTAAATTGCTATAATCCTTTGAAGCTCTCCAGCATTATTGTTGCAGAAACAATAATTTGGTTAAAAGGTGAGCACAAGAATTCCAAGCAACTGATTTATCTCACTCTAAATTCTCCTTGACTCACAATTTCTACTCCAGTTGATTTGGAAATAGATGTTGTACCTTTAAAGTCAATTAATATTTCACCTTTCATTAGCTTCTTTAAAATCAAGCAATGATGATTTTCATAAAGTGACAAAGTCATTTCAACTGCAGTAAAATTGTGCTGTTTGAAAGCAAAAGAAAACTTTTTTTGGTTTGTTTTTAACTGTAACTGACAGTAAGTACTGTAACAGCAGCTTTTCACAACAGTAATTGGTTAATCACACAGTATGATTTGTTGCAGTACCTCAAGCAAATTTGCTTATGTTTCAAAGTCTGTGTTATTTATTCATGTGAATTGCACAATAAAAAGTGGCTAATTGATTTATTTGTGCAAATGACTTCAGTTATGCTGGTTTTAATAACTCTGACAAAGAATGTGGTCTTCTATCAATCTTTCTCCTGTCAAATAGTTAAACATATAGTCAGAGTTAAACCTCTTTTAAAGTTATTTTTAAATGAATGTCTGTGAATTATTTAATATTGTTGGATTTTCATCAATTACATATTTTGACTTCACTGAATTGAATGCAATTAAAATACAAATGATGGTAATTATCTGGTGTAAAGACTGATCTATTAGATAGAACCTAATTCATTAATACTGACAAGATACAGCTGACGAAGACAGAATTTCTGTCATGTTTGATAAAATACAAAAGCTTAATACTAGTTCTTTATAATAAAACATGTCCTAGTCTAGTAAAATATTCTGCTATAGTGATAAAATTATTTTAAATTGAAAGTTTATACTTTCTTAAGATGTGTGATAACTATTTTTAGTCTGGTCATCTGAATAGACTCTGGCGGCTATCAGTGAATTACAGCTGTATAAAACAATTCTAAAAAAACTCAACCTCAGTATTTCCCAGAAATTCCCCTTGTATATGTACCTCAAATATAAATATGAAGATTGCATTCTGTACTAAACTTCATCTCTTTCTAATATCAGCCTAAGATAATTATATTGAGATCAGGTCCATAGTGGAAACCTCACATGAAACTGGACAAAAATATTTTATCCCAAAAGACAGCAGTTATAAATAGAGTATATGTATATAAAATGTGGAATATGAATAATAGAATACATGGAATATAAGTAGAATTTCCAAATTTTACAATTAAATTTACAATTTTTCATAAAGTATCAAGAAATTTCTGATACTTTTGATATAGACAAATGAAAAAATGTGGACAGGAGCGCAAGTTTAGCATCAGCTTTGTATGTTACTTATGTGACTTGGTTTGATATCAGGTGAAAGGATTCAGATTTGCTGGATCAGACCTAAATGAAGTGTTGTTTTTTAAACAGCCAGATATTTAATCCAAAATATTTTGAATCTTTATTTTTCACTCATTCTGAAGTTTGTATTCTCTAACTGAGAGTACAGATTTTAACTTTACATTTATAATGCAGTCCCATTAAATAATTGTCCAGTGATATTAAAAAATGCATTCATCATGATGAAGTGAATATCCCCCTGGTTATCGCTGATTACTGAGTATCTGCTGACTGGAGGGATGACGCTGACCAACCTGTCTCAGGTGTGAATGCTGGGAGTGCTCTATTCTAATGAACTTTGCAGACCTGGGTTTAGCCGAGGAGCAGTGCTACTGCACCCTAGTACTCTGCTCATGTCCGTGCATTGTTACCTCAGCAAGCAGAGAGCACATGCACACACATATTCAGAACACTGCAGGCACAGCGTCTTTACCAGGTGGTAAACAGGGATCATCGCAACGCTGTGAATAGCTGGCTAGAGCGGATGACAACATGATGAACACAAGAAAGGCCAATAAAAAAAAGGGAGAAACAACATTAGCAGTCATGAACATCCTCAGTTGTTGCTCAAATAAATGAAGCAGTTACTGAGAGAAGTGACAACTTATTTAATCTTGGGGGCTGCTGTTATGAAGCAGAAATTGGAGTTCATTAAAAAGATAAACAACTACAAAGAGGATTCTTCCAGGAAAATCACTGCTTCAGGGTTCCAGTGGACAGTTATCCAGACGTGTTAGATAATATAGTACAAATCACAGCAATTTAAAAATACTGTTAAATACAGCACACGTATTTTCTAAAGTTATGCATTCTATTGCTAAAAAGAATACACGATACGTATAGGCAGCTCTAGTTATTCGGATTTCTTCCATAGCAAATAACAAGAAAGTCACATTTTTGGAATTGTTACTGAAATGAATTACAATCCTGAAGTATGGTTTCTATTTCATATCCCATGTAGCGTATTTAGGTATGTGA